TTAAATAATACTAGGATTTGAACTCTTTTTCGGGTGTACTTCATCAGATTTGGACATTTGATTTTGAGTTGTTTTCCTTTAATTTTGTGCGAATATTTGTTGAGTTTCTGTTATTCGTTCTCCATGTAGGGTAAGTTGTGAACTACTGTTAACTGTTTCATTGATATGTGTTCTAATTTCTTGGGAATTACCGATTTCTTTGGTGTTCGAATGAGGAAATTTGGATATCTCAACAGTGTTGTTCCCTGCTGTATTTTCCAGTTTTTCTTTGTTTGGATGCCCTGTGACAATTTTTTGTTTCTCTTTTTTGTGTTTGCTCTGTGAGGCTCAATTTCAGATTATTTCTCGGCAAACTTCCTTAGGAAATTCATTATTCGGGTTATCCAGGAATAGGCTATGGGATTTAAATCAAAAAAACCTTCTTATGAGAGTCCCCACTCTCCTTAACCCAAAGTTAGCATACTCGTGTTTTCGGAAAATCACATACAGGAATAGATTTTTTTTTTTTTTTATTTACTAGACGTTCTTTTTATTCACTTGGGCTCCTCTGGAATTTCACTGAATCCATACACACCCTTTAAATGGATCACTTAACTGTGTTGACTGATAAATAAATTCTTACCTTTGCTTTCAGTAACCACAACAAGTCAAGCAAGGATGGCTTTGAAGATGTTGAGGGAAAACAAGAACAGATTTGATTTGGTGATAAGTGATGTCCACATGCCTGACATGGATGGATTTAAGCTTCTCGAGTTTGTTGGTCTCGAAATGGATCTACCCGTCATCAGTAAGTCCCCACATGCATAATCTACACTGTATTATCATAAATCTTGCAATTTTTAATTTTTTTTTTCATTTTATTTTGTTTTTTAATTTCAGTGTTATCCGCAAACGGAGATCCAAAGCTCGTGATGAAAGGTGTCACGCATGGAGCTTGTGACTATCTCGTGAAACCCGTTCGTATAGAAGAGCTGAGGAACATATGGCAGCACGTGATTCGCCGGAAAAAGATTGACCCAAAAAATCACAATAAATGCAATGACCAAGTCAAAGTAGGTGTCGAAGGTCAAGGCTCCCCGTTGACCGGGAACACAGATCACAATGGAAAATTCAATCGGAAGAGAAAAGACGAGGAGGACGAGAGTGAGGAGAACGGGAATGAAAGTGAGGACGCTGGTACACAAAAAAAGCCGAGGGTAGTTTGGTCAATCGAGCTTCACAGGAAATTCGTTGCTGCCGTGAATCAGTTGGGCATCGAGAGTGAGTTCTTTTTATCTAGCTTGGTGGATTATTTTGTTGCTCGAGTGATTTTCATGTTCATTAGTGGAAAATATTTGTGTTTATTTTGTTGCTTGATGACAGAGGCTGTGCCTAAGAGGATTCTTGACTTGATGAATGTTGAAGGGCTCACACGAGAAAATGTGGCTAGCCATCTTCAGGTAGTAAATGACTAAAAATTCATCTTCTTTAGTTCCTATTTAATATTTTGTTATTTCTAAGACGAATCGAGTAAATCCCTACTTTTGTTACGCTATTTTGCAGAAGTACAGGCTGTACCTAAAAAGAATAAGTTCGGTCCAGCAAGCAAACATGATATCTGCCTTGGGTGTTAATAAAGACAATAATACCCCCTTCATGCATGGAAACTATAATCTTGACGGGCTCGACAGTTTCCGCCTCTCCAATGTCCCGTCTTTCACGTCAAATGCAATGCTCGGCCGATTAAACACCCCCACCACTAACCTCAACCTCCGTACTCTTGCTAACGTGAGCCACTCTCAAAACTTGACAAAAATGCCCCTCCTACTCCCCTCCACCAATCAGAATGCGAGCAATTTGTTTCACGAGCTCCCCCACAAAGGCACGTCCTCGAATTTCAACCCAAATATTGACAGCTCGCGGATTTTCGCTAACGTGGGCACGTTTTCTGATTTGGGACCCGCCATTAATGGTAATAATGGAGGATTTGGAAATCAGGCACTTCACACAATGGGCTCGTTCGGCCCGGAATCTTTTAATCCGGGCCCGTCTAATTTACACCAAAATAATAATAATGATAATAATAATCATCTGCTGCCGAACGAGACGTTTGGTAATCCTCAAAATGATGCTTTTTTCAGTAGTGATCCGATTGAGGTGTCATCGGGAATGGTTCCAAGTAATAATAGTAATTTTGGAACTTTGAACGGGATTGTGTCTCATTTGGGACAGAATAGTGGGATTTTAAGCCAGAAGATGGATATGCTTTTGAACAGGAGATTGAGTGGAAATGAGAAGCCACAAGTGGAAGAGTTGAGGATGAGGTCTAATGAGGATTTTCTCATGGAACAACCATTTGTTCAGCAGAGTTATGATTCGTTGGATGAGTTGATGAATGCTATGATCAAAAGGGTAAGCTAGTAATTTGTTAAAAGTATAGGGAAGAAAAGAAAAACACAAATTTCTCTCAAAATTACAAATACTGACCGGTTTGTGAGTACTTTGTGCATTTTGTTTTTCCTCTTTACCATGTAATAATGTGACTGCCTGATAGCTGAAATATTATTGGACTACTTATTTGGGTGCTTGATTTATGGTTAATATATCATGTTTTATTGATGTGTAGGAACAAGATGAAAGCATGCTGAATTGCGAGTTTGGGCTTGACGATTACTCTTTCGGACAAGGTATTTAAGGTAAGGGTGGTGTTTCAAGTGAAGCAGCTGCAAGATGTTTGAACTTGGTACTTGCCTAGAGGCTGTATATATAAACTAATCTTAGGCTTTATCTTGTGAGGATCTTTGTAGTATTCTTCAACTTACATTCCTGTTAGTATTTCTGTTGATGTTCCCTGTCTTAATTAATTTGAGCTGTTAGGACATCTCAAGTCTATGGAGTGGCAGATTATGAACAAGTTATTTTACCAAGGGTCATGCACTTAAAAAAGGTTTTTTTTTTATATATATATATATATATATATATATTTTGGTTGCATATATTATGATGAAAGCAGGTTTAGCAATAAAATATAAATCGAGAGATAAGTTGCTCGAGGAGAAAGTGAAAAACAAGGAAACTGTTAAAAGGCACAAGTGTTGGGTGGTATTTATGCCGTTTTATTTTCAAAAAATTTGGCAAGTGTTCGATGAATTTCGAATTATTACTGCCAACTTTTGTGAAACTAGCATTCGTTTTTGTGCACATATGTACAGATACAAATAAAATATTATATGTTATATGTATGTGTATGTAATATTTAAAATCATAAATTAGATAATAGCATATCACATTTTATAAATTTTATGATTAGTAAAAATGAACAATATAGTATTAACTTACATATTAATCTTTACATCGATTGCAGTTATATAATTTTTGTAATTTTTTTTTATTATGAACAATTGATTAGATAAAATAATATTGAAATTATTATTATTTTTATTGTAGCAATTGTGTACGAAATTTTAAAAATTTTGGTTATATCATAAAAATTAAATAACTAATCTTAATTAAAAAAACTTGCTTAATGAGTTAAAACAAAAAAAATAATAATAATTTAAATAAATAGTTTTCAAAAAATAAAAAAATTATAATACCATTTAATGTGACTTTATGATTTGTTAGTAGTAATTGTTATGTAATAAAATAAATAAAAATATAAATACATAGCTAATGCAAAGTAACGTCTTTTGGAAGCAAAAATTTTGAGATTTTATTAAATGTTTTGCTAGTAATTATATATATAGATATAGATATTGTACTAGACAAGCTCAACTGCGTTTCTAGTAACGATAATGAGCTCGAGTTAGAGAACATACTCATTTTATTCATTCAGCTCGAGTTAGAGAACATACTCATTTTATTCATTCACATACTTTCATTCTATTAATTCTTAGGGACATTATGGAGAAACGATTTAATTAAGAATTGCAAATAATAAGTTCATCGAAAATTTTATTTCAAACTTTTGAATACTTCTTTCCAACTTATATTATTAGTTCACTATTTAAAATCATACTTTTATGTTACACCAATTTATTAAAATAATAATTTGATCGCTTTAATAAACGTATCACTCCTTATATACAAACACTCTTTATATACAAATGCAGAAGTTTTCGTTTTGGTGTTTCGTAATTCTAGCTAAGTGTCAAGTTTTGATGGTTCATAATTTTATAGTGTTGAAGAGTTTTTCATTGAAGAGTACCTGCAAAACTCTCACACCGGAGGAGTTTTTCGGTGAAGAGTCCCCGATGCTTAAGTGAGAGTTTTGCAGGTACTCGGCGTTCTATCGGCAAGGAAGATGAAGGGGAGCCGATTTCCAGCCAGTGAGGGTGTTCGACGTACATTATTGTAGATTTTATTTGAATATATTTTCTCGGACATTTTTCAGTATAAATGTGAAATGATAATTAATTTGATGTATTATATTTGAAAAACTAATAATAATAATAAAAATACATGTTTTTTAAGTATATTTATAATTTATATAATAGCGGAGGATCAAATTCTATATTTACATGGACTACTCTAAAGCATCAGTATTCAACACTATAAAATTATGAACCATCAAAACTTGACACTTAGCTAGAATTACGAAACACCAAAACGAAAACTTCTGCATTTGTATATAAAGAGTGTTTGTATATAAGGAGTGATACGTTTATTAAAGCGATGAAATTATCATTTTAATAAATTGGTGTAACATAAAAGTATGATTTTAAATAGTGAACTAATAATATAAGTTGGAAAGAAGTATTCAAAAGTTTGAAATAAAATTTTCGATGAACTTATTATTTGCAATTCTTAAGGGGTGAGGTATAATAGTGAAAATCGTGCTGAAATCGTAAAGCTCACCCCTATATATAGGGGTGAGGTACCTGCTGCGCGGATGAGCTGAGGTGGCTGCCCGGGCTGCCCGGGCTGCCCGATCGTACAACACACACTGTAAGTGTGTCAGAGACGGTTATGCAATATGGACCAATCAGGTCATGCCACGTGTCCTCCGCACGTGGGGGTTTGATTCCTCTGAAATTTCCTCGAAGACTCGAATGCTTGACCTGGTCTAGGTCGAACTAACGCAGAGCTGAGTGCTCCGAGTCTGGGTTTCGGTTGATATGACAACCGCTTGTGTTGTAGGTCGATCTTCGACCAGACCCTCCATGGCTCTGGGATCGACCTGCTCTCCATGTACCGGAATACCCTTTGAGCTATCTCCCAATCCAGAGCCTCTTGTTCCTGTGATGTTCGACCACGACCACCCTGTTCCGATTCTATTCGACTAGGGCGGCTGATTCGGTTTATTCGACTGGTTTGTTGGACCGACTTACTCCTTAGGTATAGTATCCCATATCATCTAGTCCCCCCAACTCTGGTCGAGTCTGAATGACTCGATCCAAGAGTAGATTTTCGTCCCTCCATCAGTTGTCGCCACGTTCGCTACTTATCGACCACTTGATAAGCGTTCCTCTGCTTTTCGACCTTCGACCATCCTTTTGAATTTCAAAGTTCAACACTGCCCATTGTCACGTCTGTCAGATGCGTCAATCATTACTCCGTGATTCGTGCCTCCTCGTGCTTCACACCTATTAAATGCACCTCTTCATAACTGTCGTTCGATTTCGCTTTTAATCCGATGGCTAATCTCCACAAACCTTTCAACTAGCCTGATGAATCTCCACCGTCTAATTCGCCTTTGATCCAACGATTAATAATTGACTGTCTTCTCCACTTATCTTCTTCACACCTATAAATACCTCCAACCACAACTTTTGTCGGCTTTCCTCCTTCGTGAATTCTCCATAAACTTGTGCCCTAAATCTCCTAGCTTCCTGCAACCGATTTCTGTGACTTTGCGACCTGCAGGTTGGATTTCTCCCCTTCATCTTCACCGTCCAACAATGAGTGAGTCCTCTGACCTTTCAAATTGTGTTTTTTACTTGAATTTTCTGGTTTTCTGTTTTCCAATTCCCCTTCGAATTTCTGGCTATATCGCCGGCGAATAAACTTCCTTCTTTTTCGTCTTCTGCCCCGTTCAAAATCTTAAAATATTTTCTTTTTTTTTTTTGATATTTTCCTCCGTTATTTTTCAGATTCCAACACTTCAAGTGAAAAAGTCCACTTCTCTGGCAAAGACATGACTGCTTCGACCTCTTCGACCACTCCACTTATTTCTCCTTCTCTTGTCAATTCCACCGACGAAGACCTCAAGCCTACTCCCATCTCCATCGTTCGACTTGCCTTCCCAGTCCAAACTCACCTCGACTATCCTCCTCTTCGCTAACCATTTCGTTTGGCCGATGAGCCAAACGAAGATATTCTCGACAACGTTCCTCTCACTCGTCGTCCTAGCCAGCCGTTGGTATGCACGAGGCTATTGATGCGGCATCTGAGGAGGAGGACCATGAGGTCCACCATCCTAATTCAGTATACTCGACCGCTCCTCTTCCTTCCTCGACCAAACCTTCATCTTCCTTGGCCACAAAAACCGGCCCTTCAACCAGCAGCCCTAATCCTTGCCGTCGGACCAAAAAGTCTCATTCTCACTCTAGCAGAGTCACATGGATAGACCTCAACGAAGTCAGCCATCCTGGGGCTGTATATAGCCCCAGTAGAGATGATACTTACGACAAACCCTCCGAGGACTACTACACCTTCTTCCAAATCCAGTTCGATCTGGGAATCCACTTTTCTCTCTATCCCACACTAATCAAAATGACTCTATTCATTTTTTGACCACCTTCATCATTCTTTCCTCCATTCGTCTAGGTCGAGTCGAACTAGATTTTTTCTTTTATTGTTACTTGGTCTGAAAACAAGTTGGTGGGCTCTACCTGAAGAGTCGCAACGGCGCCCACTTTATCTCCAACATCCCTTCCAATTACCCCAAATGGAAACACAAGTTCGTGTACACCAAGCCCAGAACTCCTTTTCCTTGCGTCTCCACTTTCTGGCTCAAGGAACTTCCTTTCGAGCTCGAGGATCATCCTCAATATCCCATTTTCTACCGTCGTATTGCCTTCTAGAACTCGAACCCCGTAGTCTCCAAAACCTTGCTCAAAGATAACCACCTGTTACACTATTGCGGTATACTCACCCACAAGCCATATCCTCCTTCTCTCGAGCAAACTCTCGAGGATCTTCAAGTTGGCGACTTTCCAGGTAGTTTCAACCATTTTACACGACCACAAGTTATTATCTTCATGCTAATTTTTTCCTTGTTGTTTTCAGTTAAACCCACACTTTCTCTCAAGAAGAGGACCCCCCCTCTCAAGAAGAAGTCGACCAGAGACGTGACTTCTCAATCATCCGACCAAAGGACATCTTCTCGATGCACTTCATCACCTCCTTCTAAGGAACGCATACCCCATTCTCCCGCCCTAAGGACGCTGAGATTCTTTCCCGAAGAGCAACAAAAAAATATCATTGACCAAAGAGGCGTGAGATATTTATAATAGTGATAGATGGCTTGGTCATTTTGTGATTAGACTAAACTTGAAGACATATTTTGAATTAAAATCCCATTTCTTAATGTAATAGTTGTGATTAGAAATGAGTACTGTACGAGTTGATATGTCCATTGTCAATATCAGTAAATAGGCTTTGTATGTTGCAATTGATTTACATCACATACAGTTCATCACCATGTCTCACCAGCACTACCCTTTCTCTGTGGGCGAGGAGCTT